AATTTTACATATTTCTTTTGAAAATAATTTGTGCAGTTGTCTCTGACATCAATATATATACATTCTTTTAGATTTCCTTGGGTTATTTAGGCGATTTTTCATGGATAAGCCCTACCATACTATATAGCATCTCCATTTGCATAAGCGGAATTATTGTTATATTAATACCGCTATTTGTTCATTATGGAATCATAGTTACAGTCATCTCCATTTATAGCATTGGTACCGGTGGCGTTTCTGCTCTGGATGTCGTTGTTCTATTAGAAATCATTCCCCAAGATCAATTTGCAAACGCTTTCGGCCTTCTACTTTTGATCCAAGGATTAGCCACGTTTATTGGTTTGCCGCTAGCCGGTAAGATAATCTTAATTTTATTTTAAAGTTTGGTCTTGTATTTATGAAAATTTTTCATTTCAGGTATATTATACGATTTGATTTATTCTTATGATATTTCCTTTTATATTTCTGGCATTATCTTATTCGTTTCTGGAGCAATTAACTTATTAATCATTAAATTTATGGACAGGAAAAGATGAAAATATGAAAGAAACGAGGAAAGTCTTTAAAATACTTTCAATTCTTTATAGAATTTACTATTAGAATGAACATTTTACATTTTTATTCGTATATAACAATGTTTATTTGTAAAATAAAGCTTTCAATACATATAAAAATATTTTTTCTTGAAGTCATACATTAAAAATATGCATATTCAAAGGATAATACTACCAAAAAATACATATTCCATTGTTGTCCTATTATTTTCTTAAAATTCTCTCAACCATTGCTAATTTTTGTTAACTTTACTAACCATATTATATGACCCATATAGAGGTCATATACATATATTTTCACGACATGTATCGTCTTCACATGACGGAGCATTCGTGTCTTTTAAGGCCCTCTTCTAACGAAGCAGGTCAATTAGATTAATATCAGTTATTTCTTATTACTATTTTATTTATATCTTCCTGTTTATGGAATATTTTGTTATTGTAACAGTTTCTAAAACCAAAGTCCTGCTGTCTAATGACTGTCTTTCCTCTTTGTCGTAAATGTTCTAGTTTTATTGTGTATACAGCTGAATAAATCGACTAACTGACAACCTTCGAGATCGTCAATCTTTCTGAAAATATTTTAAAAATATAAACTGAGCAGAATAATATCATAATGCATTATTTTGTTTGACCTTCATTTTTTTCGTACTTTGCAAATATATAATAAGAGATTGAAAACAATTGCGTGTTTTTGTTATGCATAGTAACAAACTGTTTATGTACAGTACCTCTTTTAATAATGTTTGTGGGACGTCTCGATATATAATTATATAGCGATATATCTATCATTCATTTACTATTGAAAACAATACGAGAAGAGAAAACAATTTAACTATAATTTAATCCTGTTCTGATTACTACGGCATAAGAATGGAAAAAATCAGAACAGTAGAATTGATTATAATTGTAAAAACTGTTATATTTCAAAGCCTTATCATCCACTAGAAGTTTCATTTATAGAAATTTATAGGTAACAACATTTGATGGCCGGATGACCGAGCGGTTAAGATCACCCAGAACCTACATCTCTGGGAGGTCCGGAATGGACTCCATGTGAATCAAAAAAACCTCCAGGAATTTTCGGGTGGTGGTCCGTCCGGATTAGTCAGGTCCCGTCCCTCAACCAACCGGCCGAACTCATAATGGGCTTGCTTTAAAAAGGCCCTCTTAGTGACCACAGGGCAGAAAGAGTTTAAATAAAAGCAAAATTTGAAGTCATTTGTGTTACTTACGCAAATATAATATATTGTATAATGCATTTCAATATCTATTGTTTAGTGGCCAAGCGGTCTTCGTACCCTGAACACTTGAACACGGACTTTGATCGTGGGTTCGCGCCTCGCTCGGACGGGCTTAAATATTACGGGCTTAACGCTTAAATAGGAGTCAGTTTCACTTAAATAAAAAATCTTCCCGGAAGGCATCCTTCTAGGCAGATCACCGAAGTGTTGCGTTGCCATAACTAAATAAACAAATATGTATTGCTTAGAAGAAACCACAATTCCAACGTTTTGTCTTTTCACCAATTCACGAAATTAATTGTTTTTAATGCTATTGAATGAAACAACTTCTTCGTAACAAATATGATTATGTTATTATATGATATAGGTCTTTATGTTATAAAACGAACTTTCGGAATAAAGGAGGATAAAATTCGAATCATTACGATCTGTACAATAATATTCCTTCATTTTTATGATATCGAAATTTTGTCGGCTCGATCCTTCTTGTCAACTTTTAAACTATTTGTAAAGTTAAAGATAGATAATGATTTAAATAGAAAACCAATATTTTAATTGAATTCACTAAAAAGTATTACAAAAATTCGGTAATTATTTGCAAAGAATGTAACAATGATGTTCTTCCGAATTTTATTATTTTGATAAAATGCTACAAAAATGCAACGTTAGATTATATATATATTTTAAAATAGAGTATAAGCTTCATATTCTCGAAGCTAATTCGCGGAAGGATTAACAAAAATAATGAAACAACGAATAGAGCGAACGATTTTTCATGTTTTTACATCTTAAATTCGTTCTGTTGCAAAGATTCTCCGGTAAGATATGAAAATTTCACGATGCCATCTGGTTTGTAATTTATATTACTGATATAATCGAAATATCCGCCAATTTGGAACGAATTTATCATAAGAAACAATAAGAAAAAAAATACAGCAACGAGTTGCGTAACTTTCCCGGCGAAAAACATGTTTAAAAAAAAGATGATGCCATACAGTTTTAAAACTGTATGGCATCATCTGTTACGAGGTTTTATTAAAAAATAACTTTTCAATATTAATCGTAATAAAAATTTTTCGAACAGTTTTTTTTTAAACTAAAAGTTTGTACGAGTAAAACAAATTTCAAAACTTGTAAGGTTTTTGAGATATGATCTCACCACCTTAATGTCTCCCGAAGCGATGGTCCGATTTTCTTGAAAATTTCTAAAAACATTTTCCCCAATACATAAACCTCCCTGAAAAATTTCAGAAATTTTCGACAAAAGGCACAGGAGTTACGAAGCTTCGAAGTGGGTAAATAAAACCATGCTCCACGATGATTCGGGCCACCAATAGCCGATTTGATAAGACTACCGAATACTAGTAGTTGGTGGCGGGTTCTCGCCTGGCCAATGGACTGGCCACGTGGGGTTTTTCTTCAATGTTAGTAACATCTGAATAGGGGCCATTTTTCCATAAAAAAAAAAACCTCTCGGCGGATCGCCCACGCGTCTCGTACCATAAACGAATAAAACCAAACCGTATCATAATCGAATTAAATATAAAAACCCAATTGTAATTTTAATATATTAATTTTATTATAATTAAAATTTTAATTCGAAATTAAAAACATTTTCTTTTTTTTTTTTTAATACTGAACGAATTTCCATATTTCTCCGACAGGTTGCGGTCTTCTCCGTTGTTGGAATGATTGTTTTCGTGTGATACATCCACGTCATACCTAAGTATTTGTCAATAAAAAAATCGTTAGTCGGTTTATTCATTTTTCTAGAGATTTTTTGACATGACTCTTTGAAATAATTGAAAAACATTCATTCAAAATGGTTCTAACCACGATGATTGCTCGAGTAGGGGACGGTCTGCCCCTCGCTGCCTCGGTCAGTGACGATGAGGTAAGTTTCGGGTTTATAACCAGGAAATTATTGAAAATTTCATAATTTTTGGCTCCATTTTTATCCAAGAGATGTTCAAGACAATGTTTTTAAACCAAAACCAAGACGGTTTGGTAATATGACCGACGAAATATATGCTATCAGCTCTTAAAAGATAAGGAAATTGCTGAATATTTTCCATAAGGACCAGAATTCACAGACATATTCCTATCAATATTTGATTCTTTCGTGTCTGGTGTAACATTACAGTGCTGTAATTGTATCTATGCGAAGGAAAGTGGATTCCAGATTATATAAAAAGGTCTAGGCTTACATACTGAAACTTTCATGAAAGTTTGGTCACTAGAAATACTTTTAGGTAATTTGTGTAATGTTATATATGTGAATTCCCCGAAAGTAACTTCTACCATTTAGTTTTTATATATGATCACAAAATTGCAGTACTTTTCATAATTACAGTTACTGTAATGTAGTTACGTGAAGCATTTATCTAGCGTTATATGTTTGAAACAATATATATGGGAATTTGGATTTTATTGAATATATCTTTACAATTTACTAAAGTTATAAAGCAGTTGAATGACGCATCCTTTTAATGTGATTGATTAATGAGTTTTTTTTTAATTGACTCATCCTGCAGAATGACATTGTACATTTGTTTCTTTCTGAGTTTGTCTGAGTTATTCTGTATTTGAAAAGATTTTATCTTGGCTGGGAACTAAACTGTAGGATTATAGGTCGTTACTATGGGAGGAAAAAAGAATTGAATGGAAGTGAGGATTGAGAGCAATTGTCAATTAATGAGATATTCCATTTCTGCGTTTTATTTATGTTCTTTTGTTTTGGCCAGGCTAAACATTGGTTTTATTTTTTTCTTTAATTTCTCTGAACTGTTTGCTTAGGACATCAGAATTTTATAACAACAATAAACAATTCAGTATCCTGTGTACTAAATACAGTGTGTTAAAAAGGCATATGGTAGATAGTACACACCACACTGAGTAAAAGACCTTCATAAACAGGTAGAAAACTCCATCATTTCTGAAATATTAACAGTTTTGTAAATATTATGACTGAATTATTTGCTTGTACATGTTGTGTACAATGTGAAAAGAGAAGACAGATAATCTTACCAAAACTCCACTTTGATACTTCACATGCCCTGTTATATTTCCATTCATGCTTGATATTTTCTTAGAATTGCAAACACTCAAAATTTCAGGTCTTTCTCAGATTATTTATCTCAAACAATTGAGTTTTTGACCTATGTTTACTAAGATCTTTTTACTCAGTATGGTTTGTCTATCTATTATATATAAGATGAATGCTTTTTTCTAACACCCTATATATGTCAGCAAATAACTCTGTAATACACTCTCATATAAGGATTCTTAGTCCTCTCTTGTAAAAAGGAAATCACTAATTTTAAATCCTTAGGATACTGTTCCAAATGTATTGTAAATTTTCAGTTTTTTGTGAATCATTCAACATTGCAAGAAGCAAGCATTGGAGGAATATATCTTGTGAAGAGTTACTAAACCCATAGTTACATTTAGATTTTTTTCTCTTAGGAGTGATCTAAAAGTGTTTCACAAACATTTTTGATTTCTGGACTACCACCCCTTTTTAGTGCATATATTTCACTAATGCTCCCATAAAATTAGTCAAAATTGTTACATTAAAAATTAAATCTAATAAATTTTTTAAAAATTTAAGCACTTATTTTATAAACAAAACTACAATTGTCCAAATATATTTTAAAGTATTTGATTAATTAGTAAAAAATGACATGAAGGCTGGATCTGTTGCACTGAAACATTTTAAGCAGAATCCTTAAATTTGACTATTTGCAGTGGATTAGACAATAAACTCATATTTTAAATAGTATGTTGTCAAATCATTCAAATAGCACCCATACTGTGTGAAGAAAGTAATTGACAACATTTTCACAACAAAAGTTTTGAATAAAACAATTATGATGAAAGTTTTGTAGATAATACTATCACTCAAAAACTGGTTATACTTGAATTAAAAACTCTAAAAACCTATCGCCTAGCAATTTTTGAAAATTATGTGCAAATGTTTTCGCCTCCCCTCTGCGTGTGTGTACAGCAATCTCCTGTTGTTTCTACAGCTGGGTATTAGTTTGCCTGATGATGCCTGTTCAACACAGGCAAAAAATGTTTGCAGGTATTCAAAAAAAAGAAATTGCTGGATTATAGGTTTTTAGAGTTTTAATTTTTAGTGTTGTAGATGTTGTATCAGTTAAACTTATCAAAATGAAAGAATAACGTTCGTTTTGCCAGTGTGTCAGCATTATATAAATCAAAAAGCTCATTGGCATCAAAGTGTGAAATAAACTGTGAAATTAAAATGTACTACTGGTAATGATTATGATAAATTTTTTAAAAAAGAATGAATTATTGTATTAATGACAGAAGAGAAGCAGGACATTTTACTCCACTTTTCTCTATATATTTTTTAAACTATTATTAATAAGATCATGTTATTACTGAGCTTACAGCTGGTGTTAGTTTTATGAGCAGCTACAAATTTATCTAATAATTTATAATGAATTGATCAATTTTTCCAATCAATAGTTAGTTCCACTAATTAGTTTAGTTTGCTTAATTCATGCAATTGCAATGTGTGTATTTGATGCCTTTTATGCATAAAGTCATATTCTTGAAAACTGATTTTATAATGTGTCTGTTTGAAGTTCAATAGCAAAATTTAGAGATGTGCCAATTAATCTGAGGAGATCACTAAGGCCTCCTCAGATTAATTGGCACATCTCTTGAGAAGGAAATCGGTTATGTCGGTCAATTTGATTCCATCTATGAGTAGTGTTGTCATCACATCAAATGAATGATTCCACGACAGACAGAAGGAGTCCAATAGTCATTGCCACGAGTTTATTTTACATAACTATATACAAGAGTTACAATTACATCGACTGTGGAAACAGTGGTCAGAGCGCATGGTAAGGTGAACATCCAAACAAGAGCATGTTGACCCAAAAAGTGAGTTAGCCTCAGTCTGATGTCACATAGGTTGAGGATGGTGGTCAAGCGCCGTGTTGCCAACCGCCACAAATCATTTGCTAATCATTAATTACACTAATTGCCTCTTCTACCAAATAATTATTTCATTGGAAAAACATTACTAATTTTTAAATTTAAAATTATTAAATTAACATTAGAAACTGAATGAGATTTAGGAAACAGTAACTTTATTAATAACAGTAATTCAGGATNTACAAGAAATACTTTTAATTTGAAAATTGGTCATACAAATTTGATTAAACACATTTACAGATATATCCATTATGGAATATGAAATTTCTGTATATTTGAAGTGTTGTTTCTTAACACAGATTTTGAACTGACATTCAAAAGCGCAAAATATCTATTGACAAAAAGAACTGTTAATTCTAACTAAATCGTTAGAAAAAAAATTCTGTTATGAGTAACCTATGAAAAATATTCTTTATTCAAAATTGTTCAATAACTTTTACATTTAAACTTTATAATTTGTTAAACAAGATCTGTGAAAATTTCTCTTCAGAAGTATACAAAACTTAGTTAATTTTATTGTTTCATCTAACTATATTAAACGTATACGACAAATTCAAAAATATTCTGACTCGTCTTAATTATAAATTTCATCCTTTCTCGAACTTTTTATGAATAATATCTGTAACAAAGTATAAATTTTCTGTTATTTATTATCTGTGCACGTATATTTAAATTTATAGAATTAATCAATCACACTATTAAAATTATTTATTGTCTATGATTTGATTCAGAGGTGCATAAAGATCAAGTATGAAGTTAAAATTCGTTCCAATAATAATAATAATAATAATAATAATAGTAAATAATGTTAAATTTATTACGAAAAAGTAAACCATTTTAAAATTATTCCTATAAATTTAAGAAAGCATGCAAGCTAAACCTTATACTGTATTTTCACTTTATTCTCACTACATATTGGGACAACTAAAGGAAATAATTTATTCCGGCATGACTTCTTCCCACATAACATAATCGATCAGCATTTCCTATTTCGGTGGGTTGACGTCATTCAGCTGACCAATCAGCGCGTTGTGCCATCTGGATATTTAGGTTGATTATTTTTTTTGAACATTTAACTTCATACTTGATCTTTATGCACCTCTGAANTATGGTTTGTCTATCTATTATATATAAGATGAATGCTTTTTTCTAACACCCTATATATGTCAGCAAATAACTCTGTAATACACTCTCATATAAGGATTCTTAGTCCTCTCTTGTAAAAAGGAAATCACTAATTTTAAATCCTTAGGATACTGTTCCAAATGTATTGTAAATTTTCAGTTTTTTGTGAATCATTCAACATTGCAAGAAGCAAGCATTGGAGGAATATATCTTGTGAAGAGTTACTAAACCCATAGTTACATTTAGATTTTTTTCTCTTAGGAGTGATCTAAAAGTGTTTCACAAACATTTTTGATTTCTGGACTACCACCCCTTTTTAGTGCATATATTTCACTAATGCTCCCATAAAATTAGTCAAAATTGTTACATTAAAAATTAAATCTAATAAATTTTTTAAAAATTTAAGCACTTATTTTATAAACAAAACTACAATTGTCCAAATATATTTTAAAGTATTTGATTAATTAGTAAAAAATGACATGAAGGCTGGATCTGTTGCACTGAAACATTTTAAGCAGAATCCTTAAATTTGACTATTTGCAGTGGATTAGACAATAAACTCATATTTTAAATAGTATGTTGTCAAATCATTCAAATAGCACCCATACTGTGTGAAGAAAGTAATTGACAACATTTTCACAACAAAAGTTTTGAATAAAACAATTATGATGAAAGTTTTGTAGATAATACTATCACTCAAAAACTGGTTATACTTGAATTAAAAACTCTAAAAACCTATCGCCTAGCAATTTTTGAAAATTATGTGCAAATGTTTTCGCCTCCCCTCTGCGTGTGTGT